ACACACACACACATCCCCCCCCCCTCCCACACACACACACCAGCCATATCCCCCCCCCTCTCTCTCTCTGTCGATCGGTGCATCGATCAGAACGACATCGCGTGCAGCCACTGGCAGGCCAACCACCCCCACGGCACCATGTACCGCGAGGACGTCTACCGCACCCTGGACCACATCACCACCGGGGTGGAGGGCTACCCCCTCCCATTCGGCACACGCTTCCTCACGGCCAGCTCACCATGCCAGGGATTCTCCACCATCAACGTCAAGGGTACGCCCGGCGGCACACACACATGTGCACCAGTGCGTGTGTTTGTGTGTGTGTGACAGGAGGTGTGTTGGACACGGAGAACAGGAAGCTGATCCACTCGGTGACGGCGTACCTCGACACACTGCAGCCAGAACACGTCATGTTCGGTAACCCAATGCACGCACCCACACAGAGAGAGGGAGGGAAATGCACACATGGGCTCCACATGGACCCTTCGCACAAGTGTTGATGCTGTCTGTGTGTGTGGTGTGTATTGTGCAGAGAACGTCGTGGGCATGGTGCACGACACCAAGAACAAGTCCTCCGACTTCTACGCCTTCCTCCTGGGCCTACTCAACAGCGGATACGGATTCAAAGCAAAGGCACCACACACCCTCACCCACATGCACCCCTCCCATATGTGTGTGTGTGTGTGGTTTAGGCGATGGTGGCGTCCAAGTACGGCTGTCCCACCATCCGGTGCAGGATCATCATCATGTGCTGGCGGTGGGACAAACTCGAGCCGGACTGGCCAAGAGAAGTACACCCAGGTGGACACACAGACACACACACACACTTGTGTGGACACACACACACACACACACGTGTGTGTCTGCCTGGTGTCGGCGTAGGTGCCATGCCGACCATCCGTGACGCCATCAGCGACCTCCCGCCCATCCATAGCGAGCTCGGTACCCTCTCCCTCTGGATCCCCTCCACAGCGACACGCGCTCATCAATGTGTGTGCAGGTAGTGACGTCGTCACGTTGTATGAGGGCAACGAGGGCCAGCACAACCCCGACACCTCCACGTCGGCCAGTGCTGCTGCTGGTGCTTACGGCAATGGTGGTGCTAGTGGTGGTGATCTGTCGGCGTACGCCACACTGATGAGGGACCGACCGAAGCACTCGACCATCACCGACCACCAAGTTAGTATCCTGCCCTCTCTACCCTCCCTCCCCCCCAAACACGCACATGGGTGTTGCATGCACACACAAATGGATATCTCTGTGTGGGTCTGTGTGGGTGTGTGGCCATGCAGGTCGGCGCCAACCCCTCTCAGCTGCCCCCGCTGGCGGCCATCGACCGGCCCGCCAAGACCGTCCTCTGCAGCGTCCTCGAGTGGCCATCGCGGCACCCCACGCAGACCAACCGGGTGTTCACTGTGTACGCACCATCCACCCACACACGTGTGTGGGGACATCTGTGGGTGGGCATTTCCCTCTCTCTCTCTCTCTCTGTGTGTGTGTGTGTGTCATGCAGGAGGGAGGTGTCCCGGCTGCAGAGTTTCCCGGACTCGTATACCTTCTGTGGCGGATCGGCTTTGGCGCACTACAAGATACGTACGCCTGAAATGTGGTGTGCGTGTGGGGACTTTGTGTGTGGGGACTCTGTGTGTGTGGTTGTGGTGCAGTTGGGAATGCGGTTCCTCCGTTGCTGGCCGAGTGCATCGCTCGGCAGCACACCAACAACTTCGCCAGCCACCCTGTCGACATTCTCAATGCTGGTACGCACACACACAGCCACCATACCCGTGCATCCGCCAGACACACATCTGTGTGTCTCCATGTGTGGTGCTGGTGCGATCAGCGTTGATGCCCGAAAGCATTGCCGATGCCTCTGGTGCCAACTCTGGCCACGTCAAGCTGGGCGAGGTCAACCAACAGACAACTGCGGCCGCTGCTACTGCTGCTGCAGGTACACCACCGCACCCCTTCCCACCCACAAACCTACCACCAAGGCGCACATGCGTCTGTGTGTGTATCCGGGTGTGTTGTCCGTCCATCGTTGTCTTCAGCAGCGTCTTCATCTGCGTCTGGCGGTGGTGCGGCTCAGCCCAAGGCCAAGGGCAAGGCCAAGGCGTCACCGGCAGCAGCAGCAGCCGCCACAAGCCCCAAAGCCAAAGGTATTCCCCCCCCCCCC